CTGGTCTGGAGGATGGGGAGGACGGGGCTGGTCTGGAGGATGGGGAGGACGGGGCTGGTCTGGAGGAAGGAGAGGACGGGGCTGGTCTGGAGGAAGGGGAGGACGGGGCTGGTATAGAGGAAGGGGAGGACGGGGCTGGTCTGGAGGAAGGGGAGGACGGGGCTGGTCTGGAGGATGGGGAGGACGGGGCTGGTCTGGAGGATGGGGAGGACGGGGCTGGTCTGGAGGATGGGGAGGATGGGGCTGGTCTGGAGGAAGGGGAATGGAACCAGGAGGTGAAGAGTGCAGGCAGCCCCTAGAAGCTGGAAAAGGCAAGGAAATGAATCTTTCCTGGAGTCTCTGAAAGCCCAGTGAGATTGCCGGGCTTCTGTCTTATAATACTGCTAGAAAATTAATTTGCATTCTTTAAAGCCAGTGTGCCCCAACATTTTTGGCACTGGGAACCAGTTTCACGGAAGACAGTGTTCCCACACGTGGGGGTGGGGAGTGGCGCAGGTGGTGGTGGGAGTGATGGGGAGCTATAGGGAGCGGCAGATGAAGCTTCCCTTACTCACCCCGCCGCTCACCTCCTGCAGTGTGGCCTGGTTTCTAACAGGCCATGGACCGGTACTGGTCCACGGCCCAGGGGTTGGGGACCCCTGTTTTAAGCCATTAAATTTGTAGTAATTTGGGGGGCAGCAATAGGAACCTAACAGACCTGTGATGCTGAAGTACTTTGAAGCATAAGGCACTGTTTTAGAGGCAATTGGTGGGGGTTACTGCCAGCTTGGAGCAGTGTGAGACTGAATTCCTGGAAAGCTCATGCAAACGTGTCTACGATGAGGGATGGGACACATAAGGGCAGGTGTCGCCGAATACAGAGGTGGGGCAGCACAGTTGTGAAGACAAAGAGGCTTTGCAGCCCACATCTCTGAGTTTGGATCAGGGCCCTATAACTTCCTAGCTGTGAAATCAGTAGACTTAAAGAAAAATCCTACATGACTCAGTTTCCTTCTTTAAAATGAGATTTAAAATAGTACCTAATACTCAAAGGATGATTGTAAGGGTTAAGTGATTTTACATATATGAAACATTCAGAAAATTTCTTGGTGTACCCTGATTCCTTAACAAATTTTATCCAGCATTATGATTATTTTCTGGTTCAAGTTTTCTGCTTGATAAGTCTGGGTTCCTTAAATGCAGTTTTTATCAGAGTTATCCTTTGGGACCTCGCAGTAAGTGGGCTGGCAGTTCTGGCAGTGGTTCCCAGGATCAGAACACAAGGCCCCTGACTGTGGCAGAGGAAGGTACAGAACAGGATGTGGTGGATGCAATAAGGGAAGTGGGGCCCTGAAGAGCAGGAGGAGAGAGTCGGCGAGGCTACTGGCAAAGGTCAGCTGCTGTGTATTAACAGATTTGCTAAGATGCAGCCTGTATTTGAATGTAAATGAACTCTGGATCTGCCAACAGAAGCTCGGAGAAATTAAACAAGCTTTTGGTCTTGACTTCCTCAGGATGCTGACATCTCAAAAAGAATTTCTCTGTTCTTCTCACTTTTATTCCTTGGAAATCTGAGAATCTGAGTGAAATATGGATTTACATAGACTCACACTTTTAAAAATGAGAAGCTTATGGGATGGAAAGCAAAATAGGTGAAGGGAATTAACAGGTACAAACTTCCAGTTATAAAATAAATAAATCATAGGATATAATGTACAGCATAGGGGAAATAGTCAATAGTACTATAATAACTCTGTATGGTGATGGGTGGTAACTAGACTTATTGTGATGGTCAATTTGTAATGTATTATAAATGCTAAATCACTACGTTGTTTGCTTGAAACTAATAATCAAAGTCAACCATACTTCAATTAAAAAAAATAAATGCTTAAAAAAATGTAATACTGTTTCTCAAAACAGTGGTTTTAGTATTTTTTTAATCCTATATTCATAGGTTTCTATAAAATAATTATAAACGGATCATACTACATTTTAGAAAATGTAATCTATTCTTCGTGATAAAGATGGAAGTTAGGGAGAAGACAACTGAGATATACTTCAGGGGAATTTAAAATTAAAAGTAGGCAGAAGACACACTGTCCACACACTACTTGCACTAAACCTGTTTTCCATCTGTGTGCACCACTGACGATTGCTAGTTATTTCATAACTTCTACCATCTCATATAAAAATATTATTTCTAATTTATAGAATAGAAATTATATTTCATGTGATAAAAATAAGATAGTATCTGACAAGTAATTTTGCTTTACCTGGTCTTTGCTTGACTTGTCAAAATTAAAAAAAAATTAGAAATCTATTCAAAGTAAACAGTTTCAGATCTCTGCTCAAAAGCAACCACAGACCATAGTATGAGTTAGCAAGTGTAACAAATCCCATTTAATCCCTAAAAATCTAATTAATTAAACGTTGAATAAGAGCTAATGTAAGTCTCTTTGACTGACTCCACCATAAAATCCATGGATGATATGACTTTGCTTGTACTTGAAATGGTCACTAGTTTAATCTCAAGGGGCCATTATATCATCTATTGCAAGTGCTATCTTGGCAGGCATAAGTATAAATTTCATGTTCACTTAAATAGAACTTTACCCTATCCTGTGTAACAAAAAAACATGGTTTTAAATGTTTTTTATTAAAACTGTTAGTCTTTGATAATGAGACAGAATGAGAAATTCTCAAGTGATTTCATGAACACTGATGGAACAGAGAATGGTCCATCAGTATTTATGGCCAAGTTGTATACTTCCAAAGATGACTGAATGAGCACAGGAGGAAGCTTTTAGTAAGATCTTAGAAGTCTGAATGTCACATGCTTCTTTCAAAACACTTTTAAACAATTTTACTAAGGGTCAGTGCAGTAAAATAATTAGGGGAATTGGTACAAGTCTGTATTATTGAGAATGGAAAAAAAATTAGTTCATGAAAAGAATGCCAATGTTTGGCTGAAGAATAGTGAGTTGTTATTATTAGCAAAAAGACATTTAGAAGGATTCTGGAAGTACAAATGGTCAGTACCTTTGTGTTTGAAATGGATTAGAGAGGAGGAGGAGATGGACAAAATGACTTGTCTGTATGCATTCAAATCATTCCATCATCCCAGTCCAAACCACCATATCTCTTGCCTATTATATAATAGTATCCTAACTGGTCTCTATTTTCACTCTTATCCTGCAATAATCTATTCTCCCTGTAGCACCTAGAGTGATCTCTTTTAACATATAAATCATGTCACTCTTTTGCTTAAAAACCTTCAGTGGTTTCCACTGCAATAAAATCCAGCTTCCCTCAGCGGTTTGTAAAGCTCTCTGTAACCTGGCCTCATCCGCCTCACCATCCTCCTCACTCTTTATCACCTCACTATCTCTGCTTTCTTTCTATTCCTCAAACATCAACTAGCCTCATATCTGTCCCAGAGCTAATGCGCCGGCCTATATCCTTCACTTCCGATGCCTGTTTCCTGGCTTCTCCTTGTCATTCAACCTCAGCTTCAGTGTCACCTCTTTGGAGAGGTCTGGCCTGATTACCTCCCAGAAAGTCATCACCTGGACAGTCTCTATTAAAACACACTCTTTTGATTCTACCAAGTACTGGTCTCAACAGGGTATTTTTTACCTACTTGTTAATTAACTATGCCATCCAACCATAATGTAAGCACCTGGAGAGCAAGGACTGTGCTTTGTTCATGCTGTTTCCAAAGTCCATTGTTACTGGCCCTTCCCAGTAACAAATAGATATTTATTGTTGAATAAATGTAGTTTTTGGAATGGAATGGAATTTCAGACAAAGACACCAAAGTGTGGTATCTATAATAAAATAGGTTATAAAAGAAAGATAGTTGAATTCCCAGGACCCTCTGTGAACAAGTCCCATGCTCTATTTAACTTCCTCATGTAGCTTCTTTTCATGAGTTGTCACGAAAAATTGAAAATCTCTTCTCATATCCAGTGTTTCTTGTTGTGCAAACAGTAATCCGATATTGAATGAGTTAAAACCATTATTACCCACTGTCATCTTCCCAAGAATATTTGAACCTCATTTTAAATACACATTTGCATATATTATAGTATAGAGGTATCAAAGATTCAAACTCTTTCAAAGGATAGAAAGGAAAATGTATGTAACTTCAGAATTCCTAATGTTGGCAGATGAATTACTTGGCACAGTAAGAAGGAGAAATAATTCTTTGCTACTTGTAAGTGTGGCTGTGGGGAATCCACTGAAACTATTGCAGCTTCATATGATTCATCTAAAAAATGGTGTTTTCATGATACTTGCTGTGAAGGGTTTTTGAGGATTAGGGATAACACGTGAGAAGGGCCTAGCACATGGCAGGCACTTCAGAGATGGTGATTCTCACTCTTAACAATTTTTCCTGAAGTTTCTCTCTCTCTCTCTTTTTTTAATTTTTCTAAAAACATGAAGCAAAACCTGACTTACCCTTGTCACAAAGTGGAATTTAGAAAGACAGGTACACCTGAGACACATTTTAAGTGAAGACCCAAAGAGAATTGCAAAATCTCAGAGCATAAACACTGGCAGGTCTCTATATCATCCTCTTCAATAGAGCAGCTTTCTAGTAACAGTTTCAGTATTGTAAGGGGGATCGTGCCAGGGTTAGCACTATATGGTTGTTTAGTTCATACACTGTGCTAAGGCAGCTGGCCAGGGAGGTAAGCAGGGCTGGAATGTAGCCCATACTCTTGTCACGAAACCGTGTGCCGATGTGTACAAGGGCATCGTATAGTCTGTACCTGGCCCTCCTCAAGTATATAATTTTTTCAAAATAGCTTACATTTCCAGGGAATTTGGCTAAATGAAACATAAAATAAGCAACTGTCTCGTTAACATTTTCTGAGGTCATTCTTTTTTGTTTGGTTGATTTTGTTTGGATTATTAAGTCTAATGATTACGTTCCAGCTGTCTAAGAAACTATACTTTTTAAGAGAACCAGACTTATATGTGTATGGGGCTTTCCTTGCATGGAGGGCACCTCTCACCTATGACATGTGGTTTTGCTGTGTCTGTTGCTGCTGCTGCTGCTGCTGCTGCTGAATTAGCAACTGCTGCTGTTGCCGACGCCGGGCTGTCCGCAGCTTTTCAAAGCGAGCCTCCATTTCTTCTAGGACTTTCGGGGTGTATCGCACCACCAGCTTGACGCTGTCCTTAGCAGCCTTAAGCAGCTCTACAGCTTTTTCATGGTGCTCTCCTTCCACACTCTGAAACGACAGTGATATCTCATAAGGGGACGGCTTCCATGTTCTTTTCTCTGGAGCGAAATGCAAAATGAGTATTATAGTACAACCTCTAACAACTTTAAATTTAAAGAAGGTATGGCAAATTTATGGCCACCAATGTTATCATTTACTGCATTTGTAGTTGGACCACAAGCTGGTAAGCTGCACTAGGATACAGGATGGATGAAATGGAGATTCAAGATAGGAGGAGGAGAAATAATGAAGACCTAAAAGATAACACTTTTAGAATAGGATTGCTAAATTTCACCTGGCAGAGTAATTGCACTGGTCCAGAAACCTTGGAAAAAATTAAAAAGGAATAATGAAGGGGGATAATGAAAAGGAATTCCTATCTGGTATTAGCACTTAAAAAGAATCTACAGTGCTTAAAGTAGTGTCTTATTGATGTAGTAAGAGGAGAATGAAACAGCATCTAAAGCAGATCCACCACATAAAACGTATGTTACATGATAAATGTGAAATTCAGACTAAAGGAAGAAAGGATTGTTAAATAACGATGCTGGAACAGATAATAATTAAATGATACAAAAGAATGGGGATTCCAGTCTCACAGTCTATGCTACATATAGCAGCTTGATTAACAATTTAAATATAAAAAAATAAAACATTGAAACAACTAAAATAAAGCATAGGTCAGTGTTCATCATCTTGCAATGTAAAAGTAATTCTTAAGTAAAAGTATAAAAAAAAGACACCCCCACAATATCAGACCTAAAAATTGGAAGTTTTTAGATTGAAGAGAACAAACCTCTGGTTACCAGGGAGGACTTGTGGGAGAAAGGGATAGTTAGGGAGTTTTAGATGGACACGTACACACTGCTGTATTTAAACTGGAAAACCAACAAGGACCTATTGTACAGCACAGAGAACGCTGCTCAATGTTATGTGGTGGCCTGGATGGGAGAGGAGCCTGGGGGAGAAGGGATACATGTGTATGTACGCCTGAGTCACTCTGCTGTGTACCTGCGACTACCACACGTTTAACTGGCTGACTGCTGCTGCTAAGTCACTTCAGTCGTGTCCGACTCTGTGCGGCCCCACAGACAGCAGCCCACCAGGCTCCCCCGTCCTGGGGATTCTCCAGGCAAGAACACTGGAGTGGGCTGCCATTTCCTTCTCCAATGCAGGAAAGTGAAAAGTGAAAGGGAAGTTGCTCAGTCGTGTCTGACTCTAGCGACCCCATGGACTGCAGCCCACCAGGCTCCTCTGCCCATGGGATTTTCCAGGCAAGAGGACTGGAGTGGGGTGCCATTGCCTTCTCCGTAACTGCCTATATTTCAATATAAAATTAAAAGTTTTTAAAAAAATGTAAGTTTCTATGTCTCACACACTATAAAAAGGTCAGATGATAAACTGAAACAAATATTTTCAATATACAACAGTCAATTCATTAATATTCTTCAAACAAAGAGCTCTTCAGTTCAGAAGCTCAGTCATGTCCAACTCTTTGCGACCCCATAGACTGCAGCACACTAGGCTTCCCTGTCCATCATCAACTCCCAGAGCTTGCTCAAACTCACATCCATTGAGTCGGTGATGCCATCCAACCATCTCAGGCTCTGTCTCCCCTATCTCCTCCTGCTTCAATCTTTCCCAGCATCAAGGTCTTCTCCAGTGAGTCAGTTCTTCACAATGGGGTGAAAAGTACAGAGCCAAAGTATCAGAGCTTCAGCTTCAGCATCAGTCCTTCCAATGAACACTCAGGACTGATCTCCTTTAGGATGGACTGGTTGGATCTCCTGGCAGTCCAAGGAGCTCTCAAGAGTCTTCTCCAGCACCACAGTTCAAAAGTATCAGTTTTTCAGTGTTCAGCTTTCTTTACGGTCCAACTCTCACATCCATACCTGACTACTGGAAAAACCAAAGCTTTGACTAGATAGACCTTTGTTGGCAAAGTAATGTCTCTGCTTTTTAATATGCTGTCTAAGTTGGTCATAGCTTTTCTTCCAAAGGGCAAGTGTCTCTTAATTTCATGGCTGCAATCACCAACTGCAGTGATTTTGGAGTCTTAAAAAATAAAACTCCGTCACTGTTTCCATTGTTTCCCCATCTATTTGTCATGAAGTGATGTGACCAGATGCCATGATCTTAGGTTTTTGAATGAGTTTCAAGCCAGCTTTTTCGCTCTCCTCTTTCCCTTTCATCAAGAAGTTCTTTAGTTCCTCTTAGCTTTCTGCCATAAGGGTGGTGTCTTCTGCATATCTGAGGTTATTGATATTTCTCCCGGCAATCTTGATTCCAGCATATGCTTCATCCAGCCCTGCATTTTGCATGGTGTACTCTGCATATTAAGTTAAATAAACAGGGTGATGATATACAGCCTTGACGTACTCCTTTCCCGATCTGGAACCAGTCCGTTGTTCCATGTTTGGTTCTAAGTGTTGCTTCTTGACCTGCGTACAGATTTCTCAGGAGGCAGGCAAGATGGTCTGTTATTTCCACCTCTTTAAAAATTTTTCATAGTTTGTTGTGATCCACATAGTTAAAGGCTTTGGCATAGTCAATAAAGCAGAAGTAGATGTTTTTCTGGAATTCTCTTGCTTTTTCAAGAACCAACAAAGAAGAGCTCTTACAAGTCAATAAAGATCTAAGCAAAATGGGCAAGTGGACTCTTGGACAAATAATTTTTTAAAATGGCCAATAAAAAAAAATGGCCAATAAACCTATTAAAAAACTGCCCAACCTCCCTCATAATCAAACAAATGCAGATGAAAAATATTTTGCTTTTAATTTAAAAATGGTGAAGATGTATTTTAAAATATGGTGTATTGACAAGGATGTAGGGAAAAGGTACTCATACACTGGTAATATTGTGACAAAAACTAGTACAGTTTTTCTGCTGGGCACTGTTGTTATGCAATGGATAAAACCCTTTATAAATAAAGAATTTTACTTTAGAGAAATGTACTAATGAAAAAATCACACATGCACAGATACCTGTAAGACAGATATGATATGACAGAAACAAACAAACAAAAAAACACATCAATTCTTAGCTTTTGAATCTCAAAAACAATACTCTTTTGAACATAATGGCATAGACAACAGTTGGGGTAACTAAGTTTACTATAAGTAAACATCAAGAGGCTTCTACCAGAGCTTCAAAAGTATCTCTAGGTTGGGACTGATGGTTTAGTTGCCAAGTTGTGTCCAACTCTTGCGACCCCATGGATGATAGCCTGCCAGGCTCCTCTGTCCATGGGATTCTCCAGGCAAGAACACTGGAGTGGGCTGCCATTTCCTTCCCCAGGGGATCTTCCTGACCCAGGAATCAAACCTGGGTCTCCTGCACTGCAGGCAGATTCTTTACCAACTGAGCTACAAGGGATTGGGGAGAAATAAAGCAATAGAGAATTATAATCAGACATCATAGAACCCTGAGTAGAGGAGACAGTCCTTTCCACTCAGCTGACCCCAGGGCAGATGACACAACCTCTAGTTTATAGGATCAAAGTGCAAAGGCCTTTTTTTTACTTATTTCCCAGGTAAAGCTCAAAGAAATGTATGTGATGTGACAGACAGGGATCAAGACAGGCTTAAATACTGCCAGAACACTTAAGAGTGGCACTGAAGTGGCAGAAAAGGCCACCCCAAAATCGGTTTAGATTACATTTTCACAACCCAAGCAGAAGGGAGACTCAAATGAATATTACATTGAGTTACCAAAAAATAATTTTCAAGCAGACAAGTTATATCTTGAGATTCATAATTACAACCATCATACATATTTGAAGATTTAAGAAATTGTGTTCCATTCTATCACTTGCTTCGGCAAGGTGGACATGGACTGAGGGAAAAAAAAAAGCTTTGAATTAAACAATGTCATTGGTGGCCTTCAGTCATGTCTGAGAGCCACGCAGATACTAAGGACCTAAGAAACGACTGTGGAGAGCCCTGGGGGCAACTTACATAACCACTCTTTTGCCAAGTCTGGACTAACTAGAGAGCAGAGGGTTATAAATAGCTGTTGAGCAGAGTGAATTTTTATCTGTGGCTGAAGTCTTGGAAAGTAGGCTCATTCACTGATTAATTTATTCATTTAACTATTCACTCAGTCATTGACTTGGTCATTCAACAGATGTTTATTAAGCATTTATTTAGTTGTACTCTAAGTTCTTCGGAAGAACATGCACAGGGGGAAACTTTGACAACTTTGTACAGTATAAATTCTCTTTCAGTGTGGTTGAAATTTCTTTGTAATTTGCCCAAGGTGAACTGTTAATGTATGGAATTCCCCTTTAAAAGGAAAACTGGATGATTTGCTTGTTTATGCCCTTCCCTAATTTCTTTTTTAATATTAAAACTAAGAAGTTCTATGTTTTAGTAACAATGGTTCACCTGTTTTCTAGGCCAGATGATTAGTCTCCATACTTCTTTTTGGCTTTTGTCCTATTTGCTTTCATTTAATAAGGTTGGAAACTCTAGGTCAGACCTTTAGATGCTCATTATCCCCTGGTAGGCACTCTGCCTACAGTTCAGAGTTGCCCCAGGAGGGCTGTGGGATTAATACATGGAGCCATCAGGCTCTCACCACAGTGGATGGCTGAGAGAACTATGGCTGGGGTTTCACACTCCACCCTGCAGAACTGGCAAGGCTACCTCACTCACCCTCAGCCCTGCTCTCCACTATGCGTGCATGGTTGCATACTAAGTCACTTCAGTCATGTCCGACTGTGCGATCCCAAGGACTGCAGCCTGCCAGGCTCCTCTGTCCAAAGATTTTCCAGGCAAGAATACTGGAGAGGGTTACCATTTCCTTCTCCAGGGGATCTTCCCGACCCAGGGACCAAACCGCATTTCTTATATCTCCTGCATGGGCACTGGCAGGCAGGTTCTTTACCACTAGTGCCATCTGCTCTCCACCACACACTTAGCAATTGACAAAAGGCAGACTCCAATGTTCTTTGGAATCCAGAATTTTTTTTTGTCTCAATGCTCTATCTTTGGCTCAGATAGTGACT